ATGAAGTGATATGAAAAAATAGCAAATAAAGTTTCAAAACATAACAGAGAACTGAAATGCATAAATATGTCACAAAATATATTTACATACTGTATACCCTAGAACCATAGAAATGAAAAAATTCACTGTTAATAACTCATTCTCGAATTGCCCCCCCTTAAAAATCAAATTGCCCCCCAGTGGGGCGTCTGTCCCATGTTGGAAACCACTGGTTTAGTCTCTTGACTTCAGGGTGTGGTCTGACAAGGTCCTGGCAGAATGCCAGGGCCCTGGGCAGCCAAGTGGCACAGAGGGCATTGTGTGCCTTTCTCATTTTGACTTCATTCCCGATATCATGGGGATGCAGGCCTGGCTGGAGGCCAAGGGGGTCCGGCATGTGGCTCGTGTGCTGCGACTTAACCCTCTGATGGCTAGAACAGGCATGACTCATCCCTCACAGAGCGGCTTTCTGAGAAACCCAAGTGCCTCCTCCTAATTCTTCTCAGCGCAACCCTTCAGCTGATCAAGGGTGGCACCGGGATGGGACCACTTTGACATCTTTGAGAGAGAAAAATGTAGATAGTACGTTTAACTTAGTTGGAGAATTTTGGTTTAACAGATCTCGCCCTAAATGGCACAGCCTGTGACAATCCGCAGCCTTCCCGTTGGTTCCTGGAGACTGACTTGCTCAGAGCCCCTTCTGCCTTCTCATTCTGTTTTCAGCGCTTCCTGTCCCACCTGGGATTCACCACTAGCCTGTTTCCCAGTAAACACACCTTCGAGATTTTACTCGGGGAGTCCTGGGGGCAGCGCTACATTTCAGGAGGAGCTGTCACCTGAGTTTATCTCTCTGAATTCCCATCTACTCCTCTCCAGGGGTAAACATAGCCTACTCCTCTCATCCATAGCCTCTCAGTTTATCGAAAACTTCCCCTGGACCAGGCACTCAGCTACATCCTTCGCATACATTATTTTATTTCCTCTCCACACAACCTCATGAAGGATTCACTTTTATTGACCTCGTTCTGCAGATGAGAACACAGAGGCACTGAACAGCTAGGTAACTGGTCTGAGGCTACACTGCTGCTAAGCGACAGACTTGGGATTCAAACCCAGGCAGTCAGATTCCAGAGTCTGTGATCCTGGCGCTGACACTTGACTGTCTCCCATGAAAGCATTTTTGTCAGTGTTAAATATTTGTTTTACTAACAAAATACTGGCTCTTCCACAAAATACCGACTTCTGCGCATGGGCCACCAAGTTTCAATCGCACTGTACGTGCGTGCCCGCACGTGGTATTTTGTGGAAGAGCCACACTCAAGGGGCCAAAGAGCCGCATGTGGCTCGCGAGACGCGGTTTGCCGACCACTGCACTAGGCTGTCAGCTCCAAAATGGCTGCAGGCAATTCTTCATTTTGTCTACCTCACCCTAGTTCAACAAATACTCATTGGCTGCCCCAAACATCCATGCATACATATTTATGAAGCCATTACCAAGTAATGTATCAGATTTCATAGCTTTAAATTGTTAACATTTAATAAAACAACTTGCAAATAAATTGTTAAAGATCATGCTAAGAACAAGGCTCCCCCCACCCCCAAGTGGTTTTATCTACATTTAGTTGTGATGGACATTTGCTCTGGCCTGTGGAGACCCAGGACGAGTAAAATCCTTTAGACCTGTAATTATATCTATGTAGTCTGCCATGAGAAGTGATTTTCCTAGTCTAAAAAGGCTATGCTGGAAAAGCCCTGCTTTTGGTGATTTCATTAACATTTAAAACTGTTAACAATTCTGTCAGCCCAAACTGAAAATGACTGTGTGAGAAATGAAAGCTTACGTAACACGGACACTTGCTCTTCATGGCTCATTATCCTCGTGGCTTTCATTACGCAGCTAGGAAGTGGGGTCAACGTCACAAAATTCGGGAACAATTAAGAAAATTACTGCATGCAGAGGTGACTTTAGAAAAGACTGTATTTGGCAACATAAAAAAGAATGATGAAAAACCCACAGATGTTTTATAGCTTAAGGCAGACTTTATCCAGGGTTTTGCCCACTTCCTTTGACCTTTTCCTGAACACCTTGAAACTTTCTCTTTGATGGCATTCCCAGGAGTTTAGGAAGTCCTGGGCATATTTCCTGAAGTTCTCTGAGTTCGTTCTCAAACACACCCATGGAGGTGAGGATATTGTCACTGATCCTTATACGTTTGAATTGCAGTCAGGCTCCAAACCTTACAATCTTCTTTTAGAGCTTTTATAGTTGGTGGAAATAGCCACATGAACAAAGATTATTTACTAACCTAACATTTCATTAAAAAAAAAGTAACAAGAAAACTAGATGGTATCTAGGTAAGTTAAAAGACAACTATTTTTAATTTAGACAAAATCTTGTATATCTATCAACCACTTGTTTTTCTTCTACAGCTACAATTGACGTAGGGTGTAAACATAATAGAAAATGTCTTTTCCTTCTTATTTATTTGTTTATTTATTGTTAATCCTCACTCAAGGATAATTTTCCCCCATTAATTTTTAGAGAAACTGAAAGAGAGAGAGGGAGGGGGAGAGAAAGAGAGAGAAACATCAATGTGAGAGAGAGATACACCGATTGGTTGCCTCCTGCACACACCCTGGTTGGGGCCGAGGATTGAACCTGCAACTCAAATAGGTGCCCTTGACCGGGAATCAAACCCATGGACCTTTGGCCTGAGGGCCAATGCTCTAACCACTGAGGAAACCGGCCGGGCTCCTTCTTTCTGTATCAATTTCAATAAATGCATATTAAGTGACTGCTATATGCTAGGTATTAAACTAAGCTGGGTAATATTTCTACTTAATAAAATTCATATTTTGGCTCACAAGTCAGACACAGGCAAACAGTGATGATTTGTACATAATTTCATGTACAAAGTGCCATGGGCTCCTTATGGAAGGAGACATAACTTTCATATAAATTTAATCTGGAGAAGCCAGAAAGATCAGTATGATCTTGATAAAATAACCCCTTAAGATATATGTTCTAATCCATGTCAATAAATATTTCTCCCTGTAGTTTTTAAACATTTTTAGGATCCAAACAGAGTCATTTTTCTTGGGCTCTCCATTGTACATGAGAGAGAAAGATGCTAAATAACTTAATGTAGTTTTCACAAGTGGTTTTTCCTGCCTGCTATTTACAATTGTCCTTTCAAAATAATGACTATTGTGAATTATAAATAAAAACTTTGCTTATATTTTTGTTATGAGGGTGAATATTTCTTATTCTAGATAAAATTCTGAGCCTCGCTTATGTACTAGTTCAAAAATAGTAGATTAAATCTGGACAGAATCTATAAAATAAAAATATTCATAGAATTTATCTTGTGGAATTTCAAACACAATATGAGAAAAATGAAAAGATCAGATTATGGTGGAATACCTACTTTTATCATTAAAAGGTTCCTAATAAAAAATTTTTTCATTTTATTAACAATCTTCTTTAGGAAGTATATAGGTTGTACTTAAGCTCTGACATACATATGGCATTTAGCATGTTGCCTTGCACATAGTAGGTGCTCAATCCACATGTGTAAAATTAAATGTAAAATGCGTAGGCCCTCCTGACCTTTCATCAAATCATCATGTCTTTCTAAAAGGTAAGACACTATGAGGTTGTCTTGTGTTTCTCAATATGGTCAGAGTCTCTGTTCTAGGAGGATTGCCTAAAAATGGGCTCAAGCCTAGAGCTAAGCCTTTTCCTCTGAAAGACCAGTAGTACTATGATTTGGCTTCTCTGATCATAGGTGATCCTCTTCAGAAAAAGATCTAGGCCCTTATAAAGTAACCTTTAAGGATACTGTCCTTTGGGGGGATCATGAGAACCATTTCTATAAAATGGGTTATTGTTTCATTTAAATGGGCTTTTTCATTTTAGCTTCTGAGCCAGACTGAGGAACTGGAGAGGAAATATACCTAAATTAAAAAAATATATATATAGTGTAATACTCTTGTAGGAACTCTTAGTTTGTTCTTTTTCTATGTATGTATGTATGTATGTATGTACCTACCTACATATGTATCCATCACAATGTCTCCATGGATAGTAGGATCTACTGATTGCATTAGTGAATATGTAACAGGAAACCAGGGCGCAGAGGAGTAAGGTAACTTGACCAAGTCACACAAGTGGCAGAGCCAAATTCAAGTTCAGAGTCTGGTTCCAGGTTCTATGCCTGTAACCCCTACACATACTGTCTCAAGCATCTGGGAAGAGAGAAAAGTCTATTTCCTGCTTGACTAAATTTTTGTCCAGGTCTGTTGATAGGGGAAAGTGTGGGCGGGGATAGAAACATTTTTGTGCATTTCTATGAGCTGAGCATCATGTTAGGTACTTTTCATATATAATTTCAAGGTATCTTTATTATTATATTAAGCTATTCAATATTACCCCAGTTTATCAATTAGCAAACTGAGGCTCAGAGTTGTTAAATAACTTGCCAAGGACATACAGCTAGAAAGGTACTAAGCCAGGGTTCAAAAGTAGGACTGAGTGTTCCCCACTATACACCATATGCTAAAAGTCTACAGATCAAATTCCAGATGACAGATCATGAAATACTAGCCTCATGTAACCAGAAATATTATTAGAGCTTGAAGTTTCTCAGAATCAAGATTTTTGCAAAGGAGACAGACAGGGAAATTTTACTTCCTGTCCCAGCCCGGTGCATGGGGATGTAACCCAGGCCTTGCTTCCTACCTTGACAGATATTGTCCTGAAGTGAGGTTTGCAGTTTCCACATCCATGCAGTTCATTGTGCTGGGAATGAGAGCAAGTTCTGGCTGGATCATGGTGGCTGAGGCTACAGCTCTTGCGACCAATTCCATGGCATCTTGCACATAGTACTCAAAGACCGACTGTGTTGTTTTCCCATGAGCGATGAGCCCTAAAGGAAGACCTTCTGTCCTCAGTTCCTCGACGTTCTGTGAGTCCCCCAGCACCCAACGAAGCTCAGAGGGCATTACCCAAAACTGGGTGGTAATCTCGAAAATCCGCCGGATACTGTCCATGTGGCAGCCAAACATCACCACTGTGGGCGTACTGTTTTTAATGCTCTCAAGCTGGACCTGCAGGAAGCTGAGGAGGTCCTCAGTGGAGGAGAGGTTGGCGGTGATGTTGATGATAGAGCCGAGGTGGAACCTGGCGTTATCCTGGGTAAGGAGGAGGAAGTCGGTGATGTTCCAGTCTTCCTGGCACAGCAACAAGCTAAAATTGTACCAGTTGTTCATGGTCAGGATTGAGACAGTGACATCAGCATCAGAACTTAATGAATTTTCTAAACTCAGCTGTAGGTGAAGGGGATTCTGTATTTAAAGATATGAAAAAGAACAATTAGAAAGTGTTGGCCAAGGATTATAACATAGGGTACTTCTGCTTTCTAGTGAGGCTTAATCCTCATATTTTCCCCTGTAATATTTAAGTGCACATCTGGGATAAAATTCCCATAATTTGGAAAACTATGTTTCCTATTTAATGGAATTATTGATTCCTTACAACTGACTTCCTTATAATTTTTGCTAAGATTATCAGATGGTTCTTAGTGTCACTATTGGGGTGACACAACCATATATACATTTGGTCTTTAATTTTTATTAGGCCTGTCTACTTCCTAACAGACTGCGCCCTTTATGCACCCCATTTCTAATTATTACTGTTATTAACCTGTTTGTTAAGTTTTCCTCTCAGGTGAAATAGTTGAAAAAATTACATCTGCTTTCCTTTAAAATTAATAGCAGGTACTTATATAAGGACTAGAGACCTGTGCATGACATTTGTGCACTGGGGGAAAGGGAGAGGGGAGTCCCTCAGCCTGGCCTGCTCCCTCTCGCAGTCCAGGACCCCTTGGGGAATGTCCGCCTGCTGGCTTAGGGGGATCGGGCCTAAGCCAGCTGTCAGACATCCCTCTCATAGGCCGGGGCTCCCTCACTCCTTACAGCCTGCCTGCAGCCTAGCTTCTGGCTGAGCAGCGCTCCCCCCGTGGGAGCGTACTGACCATCAGGGAACAGCTCCTGCGTTAAGCATCTTCGCCCTGGTGGTCAGTGCGCGTCATAGCAACCGCTGTTCTGCCTTTCCGTTGATTGGCATATTAGGGTTTTATTATATAAGATGGTATGGGAAATGGATGCATCATAGTTTCTGAGACTTCTAGCACTGAGGAAGGCACTTCTAATATTCATGGTGCTATGGTCTGAATGTTTGTGTTCCCCCCAAGTTCATATGTTGAAATACTAATGCCCAGGAAAGTGATTAGGTCATGAGAACAGAACCCACATGAGTGAGATTAAGGCCTGAGAGGCCCGAGAGACCTTCCTGTCCCCTTCCTCCATGTGAGGACCCAGTGAGATGTTGGCTGCCTGTGACCCAAGAGATGGCCCTCACCCAACCATGCTGGCACTGTGATCTTGAACATCCAGCCTCCAGAACTGAGAAAGACATTTCTGTTGTTTATAAGCTACCCAGTCTATATTCTAGTAGCCTGATCAGAATAAGACATATGGCATAATTAACAATATATACACTAAGATTAAGTTCAATATTGAAGGCTTGCTTATATTTCTGTATCTACTGAGAATGGATTCTTGCTGTGAAAAGTGAAATGTGTGTTTATGTAGCTTCCATCACAATTTCATCTACTTATGGAACTCACCAATTCCATGAAGGAAGAATATCATATTTGAAAAGTCACAAATTACTAATCAAATAAGTGGAAATACTCCTCTAATGAATAAACTTATTAAGGTGTTCTTCCCAAGAACAGACATTTGACACATTTATCATTGCATATTGACATCCTGAGAATGTTCAGCACAAATCCTTACATGTATTAGGTGCACAATAGATATTGGCCGCATTGAACTAAGTATGTTCCCATTGGGAACTATTAGACTATTGCACTATTTCTGAGAAACTGTCCAACATTCAAGTCAATAATATCAGTAGAGAAATGAGGAGGACGTTCTCAGTAAAGTTTCAAGCCCTTGAACAAAAGGAAGTGTGGCTTTTCCTTACCCACAAAAAAAAAAAAAATGTCACAAGAAATAGCATTTGATATGTCGTGGTGTGCATATTTGGAGTATTGGAGGTTAAAGACTAGGAACGGCCTCCTAAGCCATACTATTGATTTTGAAATGTGTCCTATGGAGTGAGGATTCCAAAGGGATTTATGGGAGACAAACTATGGCCAAAGGCAGTAAATGAGCACAGTAGGTAGGACTGAATCTTAGAACTTATTTTGAGAATTTGACCGTCCTTCCAAATTAAGCTGTGGGCAGGGCTTGTAATGATAAAAGCAGAGCATTTAGGGGACCAGCTATAGGCTGCAGTCCGTGGGGAGGGGGAAACTGAGCCCTCTAGGATCTTGATTAAATGCTGTTAAACTGGAAGCCAGTGCTGGCAATGGTAGAAAGGGGGATGGGAAAAGTGTGTGTGTTTTTTTAAATTAAAATCTAATGACAAGATTAGATATGAGAGGCAAAAAAGAGAAAGCTGTCAAAAACCAGGAGACAGTATCCAGTAGGTAGTTCCTGGTTTCCAGGCTGGGGGAGCCCTGGAAGATCTTGAGATAAGAGAGGAATGAAAGCTTTGCTTCCTCCCTCCTACTACTGATTCATATAAATTGCTCCAGAGAGTTTTTTCTGTCTTCCTCTTTTAGCTTTCTTTCTTTCCTTCTTCCTTTTTATTTCTTCCTTTGCCTTAACCCTCTTCCAGAAGCAAAGAGCATGGGAAGGCAATCTCCGTTTTTAGCTGGCAGAAACAAACTATTCCCAACTGTTTTCTTGGCTTCAGCTCCCTATTCTGTTGCCAGTTTTCTTTCTAAAACATGACTATGACCATATCATTGTTCTGCACCGCAACCTCTGAATCACCCATAGGACACATTTCAAAATCAATAGTATGGCTTAGGAGGCCGTTCCTAGTCTTTAACCTCCAATACTCCAAATATGCACATCACGACAAGTCACAGTGGACAGTGTATTTCTCTTGTGTCAGAGTGAGCTTTCCATGCCTACACAAATATGATATCCTGGTCTCACCACCTAGAAATGCATTTGCCTGTATTCATCGTCATCCTTTAAAACTCAGCTTTTCCATGCAGATTTCCAGAAACCAGTTTATGTAGTGTTTATGACTGTTTCTGTTGCTGCTGTGAGGATCTTTTACTTTTTTGTCTCACAATATTTTTGCCCTGTTGATTTCCGGCAGTGGTGAACTGGGTTTTTGTTTGATGGTTCCTCTGACTGCTGACCAACAGAATTAATCCTCTCATGTCTGTGTCATGTCCGACCCTTTATTACAGAACTCTTCACACCATAGTGTAGCTATTTGGTTATGTGTATATCTATCACACTAGATTGGAAGCTTCTTTAGGACAAGAAATATATCTCAACCACTTCTTCCAGCACAATTCTTATTCAACGTGAGAGTATTTGTCAAACAGGATTCTTTTTTTCTTGGCTTCAAGTCCTGGGCTATGATCATAATCTCTTCCCTGAAAGACTAAGAAGAAGGCCATTCCTAGCAGAACTTCTAGATCTGGTATTTTGTCCCCAGTTGCAACAAAGGCCCATCGTACACTTTCCATGAAGGGATTCATTAAACAGTATGTGAGGAGCAAGCTCTAATGGATACAGGGATGAAAATGTTCTCTTCTTGCCAGATGCAAGCTGGCCCAGAAGGCGGGGCCCCCTCACTGCTCCCATGTGCCAGCCACACAGGCATGCCATTCTAACCCATGCCAGGACACATCTTAAAGTGACTTGACCCATGGGCCTTTAGGATTACTTGCAAATATTAAGTCTACAAATGCCAAGGCTCTCCTTCACATGCTCTTACCAAGTGGAGGGAGCAGTACAGAGGACTGGCCAAAAGCACAGGCTTTCAAGTCCTACAAACTTGGGTTTGGGTCCAGGCTCCCTTTCTTAGTAACTGCAGCCTTGGGAAAATTATTCTTTCTGAGCCTCATTTTGGTCATCTGTTAAAGGAGGCTGGTCACTGCCGTCACCTCCTGAGGCCATTGTGAGGATAAAATAAGGCAATATACATAAAGCAGTAGGGACATCGGTAGCTATTATGAGCTTTTCATTTGTATTATTGTTAGATTATAATTTCTGGACAAGGTCCATGTATTATGTTTTCTTGCATCCTTAATGCAACCCTAAAAACAGTTAATTTCTTTAAATGCCTGGGCTTTTAAAGGAGTAAGATTTAATTTTCAGGAAAAAACTGGAAAAGGGGGAAGACTGTTCTAGGAAAAGTTCAGTAATTATGATTAGTAGGGGTAGGTGGATGCAAGTGTCTCACTATACAGGCATTCTCTGAGACTTTAAAAAAATAAAGAAGCATATAAAAATGATTATTCACTATATATAGCTAAACATATAAGGATTTAAAAAAACATACATATTTAACCAAAGTAAGGCAACATATGCTTAAATTCTGGCTGCATCATTTAGGAGCTCTGTGGTCTTCTACAAGTCATTTAGTATTTTGGAGTAAAATTCTTCATCTTCAAAACGAAACAAATTCACTTCAAGAATTAAATATGAGAAGGGAATAAACACATGGAAAGTGCCTGGCACAGGGAGGGTCGGTGGTGGTGGCTGTTACAATCTGCTTGAGTTAAGGCGTTGTATTGGAAGTGCTTGCTAAAGTGACTGACTGTGGGACAACTTTTCTCTTTGCTATTGTTCTTTTTCCTTTCTCTTGCCAGTGGTTCTCAACCTTCCTAATGCCACGACCCTTTAATACAGTTCCTCATGTTGTGGTGACCCCCAACCATAGAATTATTTTCGTTGCTACTTCATAACTGTAATTTTGCTACTGTTATGAATCATAATGTAAATATCTGATATGCAGGATGTATTTTCAGGGGACGCGACCCACAGGTTGAGAACCGCTGCGTCTTGACAGTGGTTCTCAACCTTCCTAATGCCACGACCCTTTAATACAGTTCCTCATGTTGTGGTGACCCCCAACCATAAAATTATTTTCGTTGCTACTTCATAACTGTAATTTTGCTACTGTTATGAATCATAATGTAAATATCTGATATGCAGGATGTATTTTCAGGGGTCGCGACCCACAGGTTGAGAACCGCTGCGTCTTGTCTCTTTTCAAACAATGGTCCCTGAAATAGGTGTCTTTTACAAATCCCAATTACACAAACTCTTTACCAGGAAAACAGCCACTCTGTCTCAGGCTGGGAGAGACCATTCATTTGGCAGATATTATGTTTATAGCAGAGTACCCCCTCGCCCCCAAGCCTCTTTCCAGTTCTAGTGTCACTTCACAAGTTAAGGAATTT